TCAGCAGCCCTATATATTAGTCAATAATTTATCTAAAACATTTAATTCACACATTCTAAACGCAAGAGATATGCCTATAATTGGAATGGTTGAGAGGATTAGGGTGTATGTAATGTAAAGGATACCAAGTAGGGCTACTTAGATGAAAAAAATATGTTGGGACTATGGGACTAGAAATACAAGAACTGCTAACTGAAAGGGAAATCCACTCTAGGAAGTGGAGGTCAATAACTAATGGCCAAAAGGGTTATCAAGCTAAGGGCCCACGAGGGGAACAATATACTGTTTACTTAAAAAAGAGGACATGTACTTGCAATTTATGGCAGATCAGTAGGTTGCCTTGTTGTCATGTAATTTTTGCTATCCTCAAAACTGGTAGCGATCCACAAAAGTATACTTATAAGCATTATAGTAAGAATTTATTCTTATAAATTTATCAAAATATCATATTTCCTATCGGTGGAAAGGCCTAGGGGCCAACCGCTGATAAACCTATTTTGAACCCTCCTATACCATGTGTACAGCTTGGTAGACCCATGAAAGATAGGAGAAAAGATAGCATTGAGGCAAGAACATGCACTCATGGTGGCAAGAATACTATTCATATGTTGAGAAAACATGTGATCATACATTATACAAAGTGTGGTCAGTTGGGGCACAACAGGGCCACGTGTAACGAGACAAGGGCAGCTAAAATTGGAGGATCGAACCAATGTGCAGCTGCTACTATAGATGCTGAAAATTCTGCTAAGCCTACTAAAGGAGCTAAAAGATGCACTTTAGGAACTAGGAGACCAGTCAGAGGGACTAAGACATCAACTCAATCAACTGTTGCATCAAAGAGGACAACATGAGGCATATATGGGGAGATGGTCAATAATGTAGAGGCCAGTGGCAATATCAATAGAGATCAAGCTACTGCAGAATTAGGAATTTTTGAGCAGTCTCATTCTAATGCACACTCAAAGGGACCATCAGAGTAGCAACAAGAACAATTCCCTGAAACTCTTCTACCTAAAACAACTGTTGTTAAGAAAAAATAGTCAATTAGAAAAGTTTATGCACCTGTAAGTAATTTAGTCATTTAATACACATTTTTGGTAGTGATTTTATTATGTCCAATGCTTTAATAACACAGATATCTACTTTGGAAACAAGTGAGAAGAGTTAGGTCAGCCAATGGTGATCAAAATGCAAGTTCATCAAGGCAATTTGGACAGTCACATGTAGACCCCCTGAAAGGAAAGTTGCAGACAAAAAGAAAGCTAACTAAGATGGACAAGATTATGATTAATACCAACAATGTGTACTTGGGTAAAGAACCTCTTTTCAAGGTTAGTAGATGGGCTGGAAATTCATGAGGAAGAGGAGTTGAAAGGGCTGGAACAGAATGACCAAATTTGCTATTGTCTTATGTTGTTTATGTGTACTTATTTAGGGGTTGGTAGTTTCATGCAGACTGATATTCTTTTGGTTGGGGATTTGACTATGATGCACCGCCTTTTGTAGGTAAGTTGTGGTATGAGTTTAGGACCACATTATCCTGTTTGTAGCCAATGGACATGCTTCATAGTTCAATGTATCCTATTTTGTTTCTGCCATTAAAGCATTTGGAAATTTGACTAATACTTTGGACATTTTGCAAGATTTATACAACCAAAGTTACTTTAACAACAACCACAATACATTAAACAAAAGATGATACAACAATCTACAATAAGATTAAGATTAAAACTACTCATTGTCTCATTTTTCTAACAATATCAAAGCCACAATTTAGGACCCACCAATTTTCAATCTTCCAGAAAAATACCCCTTTCTAGGCCCCTACATCCACATTACAAAATTCACAAGTGTCCAAATCACCAACACAACAATTGTGCATTTTGTTCTTCAGGTTCTATTTCCCTAGTTGTTGCTTCAATTTTTTGACTTCAACCTCCACTGTTTCTATCTTGTTTTGCATCTTTAGAGTTTCTTGTCTTTGTATTTTATTATTATTTTCCAGCCTATTTGCTTTCCTCAAAAGCTTAGGTATTACTTGCTTGGCACGTTCACATATTTCATCACCATACTAATCCTAGTATCTATGTCCTCCAATCTTCAACAAAAAAGGAGTTCTTTAATTTCATCTTCTAGTAGATCCAACCAATTTTATAAATTTTCATATACTTACGTCAGCATGAGCACACTGAACATACCTCCGTGCTAGGTTCCTATCAATCCATGATGTCTTCAAGATGGTTCTTATGCCGCATCACAGATCGGAGGAGACCTTTTACCTCTTGCCATGGCAAATCTTCAAAGCTTTTGGGAAGAGTTTTGCATGATATGAATAGATGTAGCTTTATTTTCCTTCCTTTTCATATTGCACCAGAAGGGACGAGACCAATTTGCCCCCTAAAAAATAAGACATCCATCTTGGTTGTTGAGCCTTCCGTCTAAATTAACACCAAAATTAGACAGAATGGTAGAAAAGAGTAGAATTTAGGAGCTTAATGACATTTTTTGCCAAAAAAAAGTTTAGTGACATAAATGTGTAAACGGAAATAGTTTGGTGACATTTTTTTTCATTTGCTTGTAAATATATATTAATAATTATTATTTAAATTTAATAGATTCAGGTCTTTACAATTTTAAACATATTTAATAAAGGGATTATTTCACAAACCTCTCCTAAGGTTTTTGACAATTTCACTCGGCTCCCTTCAAGTTCAATAAATTATACTAACCTCCCTTGGTGTGATAATATGACTATAATGTCCTTCATTTAATAGATAATTCACAATATGATGCAAGGGTTAAATAAAACCAAGAAAAAAAATCCTACCTCTTTTATTATCCACCAATAGTCATTCCTTCTTTCTCCATTTCTCTCACTCTTGTAAGCAACGATTATTTCTTTTTTTCTCTTATTGTCTCTTTGCCTTTCCTTTCCTCTTACATTTTTACTATATTCGCATCTCTGTTTATCTTAATGATAACCTACCATACCATAACCATTTCTATTTACGTGATGAATATGACACTATTTTACTTGCAGGAGCAGATTTCATTGTCAACTAAAGAGAAATGAGTATGCTTGTAGTGATGATAAAGAAATAAATAATGCAATTGATAACTACGAAGCATGGAAGAGGAAGGATTAGTGGGGAAATTGTTGGGTTGATTATTATCCTGAAAACTTGTGTAGGATGTTAATAAATGCATTTGATTTTCTTTACGATGTTAATACATATTTTTGTGGAGGTTGGGGTATTGTTCTATTGGTGGTGGTAGTTTAGATTATTATTTGTTTTATGACAGTGCTAGGTATTGAATTGTAGTTTAGAATGTGAGTTTGGTTGTTGGTTGTCAATAGGGGTGGGCGCGGGTCGGGTATTCGTCCCATTCACCATTTGGCTGATCCGACCCGCACCTTGCGAGTCAGCCAGTTTCTGACCCTTACCCGCCCAGCATATCAGCGGATACCCGATTATAGGGTCGGGTCAGCGAGTACCCGTCTCGCCCCATTTATCATTTAATTTTTTTAAAAAATAATTTATACCAATTTAATTTTATATTCTACACATTCATCTAAGATTTAATAAATTTTTTTTCTAAAAAAGGTTTCCTACCAAGAAACAAGCATGTGAAGAGAATATAAGATAAAGGCAAAAAATTAAAAGAATTCAAAATCAATAAAAATTTGAAATAAGTAGCACAATTTTTAATATATATATGTTCCACATTAATTAAAACTTTTTTTCTATAAAATATAAGATCATGACCTCTACAAATGAATCTTATAAATAAACTATAGTCTCTCATATTTGTAATGCAATTTATTCAATAAAATTACTTATTTAGTTCTAAATTATTATTTTATAGTATGTGTATAAAAATAAAAATAAAAAATATATAAATGAGGGGCGGATCAGGTACCCGCGGGTTTTTAATTATGTGACCCTAACCCGCCCCGCATCTTAGCGGGTACCCAATCCTCTTTTAGCTCAATCAAATAATAAAAATCGGATATTCTAATTTTCGGATCGGATATGACGGATTTTCGGATTATCGGGTAATTTTGCCCACCCCTAGTTGTCAAGGGAGAATTGATTTTTCAAAACCATTTAAGCTGGGATGATATTACAAGACAAATGTTGAAATTTTTGGAGTTGCTGAAATTCTTGAACTGTTCAAACTATTTGCTTAGTAGGTTTGTTGCATGTTTAGAAATAATTAGATTTAGCATTGGAGTTTGAAGTGTTTGCTTGGTGGTGGTGTTGTTGCAAATTTGGAAGCAAGTATTGAGAAAAATAGTTTTATTCCTTTAATAAACTGTTCATTTATCACTTAATAGTTAATTAATCTATCTAACGAGTGCCCTAGATATATTTCAAATGTTATATTTTTGAAAATATAAGATTAATTAGGAAAAATAAATAAATACAAGGGAGTGTAGACAAAATTAAATAAAAAATATATAAATATAAGAGAGCATAACAATTACTAATATATGTGTATATATATATATATTAAGTTAGATGAATACTAAATGTATCAACGAATGTGCTAAGATCACCGGTAAAAAAATCCAGAGTTAATATAGTATACACACAGTACTGTTTAATAACTTCGTAACTTAATAGATTTCAATTTTATCATTGAATGCGCACTCTTAAACTTCGTCACCGAACACTCGTAAGACGGAAGCCTTAGACTTTTTCACCGAGCACCTTGAGCAGCTGTTAGACAGACGATCACTAAGCAGTATTACAGCAAATGTGACGAGTGTATGCTCACGCCCCGTTTCGTTACGTGGGTTTCCACTCCCCAACACTTTTAACCTACGGCAAAACCATCACCCCCACGCATCCTCCCCCTCTTTCCCCCTGGGCACCCCCCCCCCCCAGCACAAACAAAAAAAAAGACCCCCTTAACGCATTACGCAGTTCGTTAAAAAGCAGCCACCAGCAAAAGTCTTCCGCCCTTTCTCACCCGTTCACTTTCACACTTCTCCTCCCCCATTCCCCTTCTTCTCGCCCCTTTTTCTCCTCCCTCAAAGTTCACGCCTTCCATAGACAAGAAAATTGCATCAGGGAATAAGTGAGTGAGAAAGAAAGAAAGAAAGCGCGATCTACAACAATGTCGATCGCCGCCGCCAACGTCATTCCACCATCTTCTTCTTTCTCTCTCACTTATTCGCTGCATTCACCCTCCCGCCGCCTCTCCACCTCCGCCTTCTTTGTCCACTGCCACCACCAACACCGACTTACCACCAGCATCACCTCCTCGGGCGCTGCAGCCCCCCGCCGCGGGGGCCATTTTTGGCTCACGTGTTCTACCCCAAACTATAACACCACCCACAGCGTCGATTCGGCGCCGGAAATCTTAGATAACAGCTACGGTAATAACGACAACAATAACAATAATAGCTCCGGCAGCGGCGGAGGCGGTGGAGGAGATCACAGTAACGGCGGCGGCGGTGGTGGGGAGAATAGTAATAATAATAAAAAGGAGGCCATGATGGTTCTGGCGGAGGCGGGGAGGTCGATAGAGAGCTTGCCGAAGGATTTGAAGGCGGCCATTGAAGACGGGAGGATACCTGGATCCATCATTTTGAAATATTTTGAGCTGGAAAAAGTTCCTCTCTTCGCTTGGTTGATGAAATTCGGAGGATTTAAGGAGCGGCTCTTAGCGGATGATCTCTTCTTAGCTAAGGTTATCATGGAATGCGGCGTTGGCATGTTCACTAAGGTATAATAATTCAGTATTTTCTGTTCTTGGTTTTTTTCTTTAATTAATTTTATTTCGAGTCGATATATGAGGTTTTAAAAGTGGTACTTGGTGCTTTGTATGCTGTACTTTTTGATGGACAGATGATTGTTTGTCTGTTAATTATGCGAAGGTGTGTATTTCGTGCATTGCTTGTTGTACCGCGTTTTAGCCGGACAACAGCTGATGCCTTGTTGGTTTTTTTTTTTTTTTTTTGCACGATGAATATTTAATAAGATTCCCAAGATGGAAACTTTTTTGTCGTTATGATTTTTTTTCTTTTGCCCTGCTTAGGTTTTGAACTTTTTGAGTTTGAATTGAAAAATGTCTGCTTTGATGTCTTAGCCAAGTATGAATCTTTTTCTTTTTCTTTTTCTGGGTCTTTTGCTGAAAGTAATTTTAATGATGTGCATGTTGGGGGGTAAGTCAACTTTTTAGTATCCTATGCTGAATGGTGAAGAGCTTCTCCTATGCTGAGTTTTTAAGGGTTGCTAATCTCCAGTACCAGCTTATAACATTTGGGGTTCTTATTGTTTACATGTTACACAGTTACAAGATTTATAATTTACCTTTGGTTCTACGCTGTCCAAGGGCTCGTTTTGAGATTGGACATAAATGAAGGGGGAAAAAGGGAATGGAAATGCTTGGGTGTTTATCCTCTTTGATGGTCTAATTTTTCATTAAGAAATGGTGTAGTTAATGGAAAATAATACACATGAGCGGTTTGCATTCAAAGTAATCTAGAACGTCATTTTAATTGAAACAACTAAATAGACAGACCCTTGAGGAGTCTATCCTTAAGCAATGTAGTATAAACCATTCCTTTTATGAACACAAGGACATGTTTGTACAATCAGGTTCGAAATGTTGAATGGCAATTCAGAATGATGGCGATATCGTTGTTCATAGATACTTTGAAAAGAAACCATTCCTTTTATGAACACAAGGACATGTTTGTACAATCAGGTTCGAAATGTTGAATGGTAATTCAGAATGATTGGCGATATCGCTGTTCAGAGATACTTTGAAAAGTGTGCCACAGGCCATGGGATTATGAGACAAGTTCTGCATTAGAATTGTGTAATAATGTTATCAGGACCTAAAGATTATGGATAAAATGATGCTTATGAATATTGAAATTGAATATTTTATTATATGTGAAGCAAAGGGGGTTGTTATGTGAGATAGTATCATTTTTATAGCTTTATCTTTAGACTTGGGATTTTAGTAGTAGAATTGTTCATTATCATCTAACAAGTCCTTTTGTTTCTTTTGTGAAATCTGATTCGATAACGTACATATGTTAAGAAGAACTTATTACAAGTAAAAAACTGTATTTGGAATGTAAGTAATTAATGCAAGTAAACTCTAGCAGGAATTAAGTTTCAATAATGTGAGATGCTAGCATTTGCACATCTTTTATCTTTAGACTTCAGGATTTGATAGTGAAGCTTTTCATTATCATCTGAAAGTTCCTTTGTTACGTTGGGGACATCTTAGTCTCTTACATATGCTAAGAAGAAGGTGTAGTTAATGATTATGCCAGAACCCGCCCACATCTTCTAAAGCTCAAAGAAGCAAGAGATGTAACATTAGGTTCTGTTGCCTGTCAAATAAACTGATGTTTCCCCTTCTACTCCTATTATGGTTCCAGAATGTTGTTATTATTGACGTAGCCTTCCCAAACATGATTTTTTTCTCCAGACTGCTGCTGAATATGAGCGACGCAGGGAGAACTTCTTTAAGGAGCTGGAAATTGTCTTTGCAGATGTGGTATGTAACTGTTCTCTGATTATCTTCAACTGCATTTTCTGCAACCTTGTCCTTTTGCTTTGAGAGTGACTAGTTTGCTGGTTTACGTATGGATTTCAACTTCATGTTCCCGGGTTGCAGAAAACAATCCGAAGTGAGGCAATCTTTCCACATATGACTTTACTATATGCTGTTTTTTTAAATCTTCTGACTTTGAGTCGGCTGTAGCTTGAAGAGTTTTCTGATTCAAACTTCGGAACTAAGGGTTAAGTTATTTCACAAAACAATTGGCCTTATCAGTTGATCCCTGCTTAGATCAGATTTATAAGCTTGTCACCATAAGCAACATTGTAATTCTTGGTTGTAATGGAGAAACACAATTATCCAAGTTAACAAATAATGATATCTGGTACTACACATTCTTGGTTTCATCTGAGATGTTGATGCAATCCAGATTGATGAACTGATCCTTCAGAAAATTTTGGTTAACTTTTCTACACTTTGTAGTACCGTGGTTGCAGTACTAAGTATTTGCTGCCTTCTTGTAATACATGTACAAATGTGATCTTGAAACATTTTAAAATTTTTATTTCTCCTAGGTGATGGCAGTAATTGCAGATTTCATGCTCGTCTACCTTCCTGCTCCGACTGTTTCTCTTCGAGCACCAATTAGTGCTAATGCAGGCCGTATAGCTAAATTCTTTTATGGCTGCCCAGATAATGCATTTCAGGTCAAAATTAACTAGTTTCACACTTTAAAATAAACTTCAGCTGTAAAATAGATAAACAGGTGGTGGTATCAGTTGTTCAACATTGTGTGCAGATAGCTCTGGGTGGAACATCATATTCCTTGCTACAGAGATTTGGTGCAATAGTGGTATGAGACATTTCTGCATCCTTGAGCTATATCTATCATAATAAAAGCTTCACATTTGGCCTAATGCTGCGCAAATCTCTTTTTCAGCGCAACGGGGCAAAACTATTTGCAGTTGGCACCACATCATCTCTGGTATTATTCTGTTCTACTCCTTTCAATTAGTGGTTTTTCTTTAACTTGCTTTTTGTCCTTTACCAAAAAGTTCCACATTACAATTTATTGGCATTGATCATAGTACTGTATGGTGGGAGATTTAGTCAGATGATTGTCCTTGGGGTTACATATGTTTCTTTTTTGTTCTATTCAGCATGCAACTGCTTTGATGTTTAGCAACTCAACCTAGTTGGATGTTCTTCATCTTGATAGCTATGCAATTTTTGAATTTCTACTAGATATTATGGTTAGGCATGGAAAAATTGCTAAGTACATAAAGTGTGTACTCCATGAGATTACTATTATGATGATCTAGCAACTGACTCTTTACCTCTGGGACTTGAAGCAGTGTCTTTCTTGAAGTGTAGTTGAATTGCTAAGGTTAATAATATGCGAAACAACCCAGGCGCTGATGAATTCTAGAAATGCATTATATCTCCAATAAGGATCAGTCCTGATAGCGGCCTTTTGCCTCATCTTATTGATGTAGTAGATTACATGCAAAGGACTTAAAATCGCTGAGAGATGTGTATCTTCAATTTTGGGCTTCTTCATTCAGCAAGTTGTGTTTGTTCCAGAACAGCATATCATACTTAAGAGACATTAAGAGACATTTGAGTGATGTAAATTCTGATTGAATGAGAAATTAAGAGACATTAGATCAAATCTTTGTGCAAAATTAGACAAAAATGGCCAACTTTTTGATTCTGTTGGTTATATCTTTCCTATACATGCATTCAGGTACAAGCTTGCTAGAAATCTTGTAATGACATGCTCCCTCGTTTTCTGACCTCAGTATCATTCTGTATGGTAGCTGCTTAAGTGCCTTTGTGGTGGGGGGGGGGGGATTAAAAGATGTCTTAGGGTTGCTAAAATTTTTGCAGGTCTAGCGTTGCACTTTGGTGAATGCTTGGAAGACTAAATTGACAGTCAAGTTCCATATTTTTTAGTTACCCTTTGACGTGCTTGATTGAATTATGTTGTGGTTCTTGTGCTATCACCATGCCAGTCTCACATTTAGCTTATAAGTGAACTTGATATTCAACTTGTAATTGTCTGGTTGCTTATCAAAAAGTTTCTACCAATGATGAATGAGGATCATCTGTACTATTTCCTCTCTCTCTCTCTCTCTCTATATATATATATGTATGTATGTATGTATGTATGTATGTATGTATGTAACTATTCTGTATCTAGTTTACTGATTATCTTTTAGCTGGACCAATTAGATATTGGGGCAATTATGTTCTGAATTTTAGATTTCAGGGCAAATAACGTGCTTCATGCTCTTCAGGTTGGTACAGTTATTACCAATGCCTTGATAAATGCAAAGAAGGCTGTATCCTCTGTGGATGAGACTGAGAATGTGCCAGTATTATCTACCAGTGTGGGCTATGGTGTCTATATGGCAGTTTCTAGCAATCTTCGGTATGTAAATTATGTTCCATTAACAAGCTGTTTCCCCTTTTTTAGTTTGGTTCTATCTTGCAGGCAGAAGCACAAAAGGCAAATTGTTCATTTTACTCATTAGTAAAGCTTTGGCTTTTAGGATACAAAATGTGGATTAGGTTACAAAACCCTGAAGTTTTATTGGAAAAAATTGATAGGCAGCAATTTGAGTAAATCACATACCAGCAATAATCAATCATGGGAGTAGTATCTTGTTGCAGGAAACTCTTTGCATCCAAGAAATTAAACAATAAAGTGAACTGAATTGTACCATAATCCTTACTGACTGGAAAAGAAATCCTACAATAACTGATGGACAGTACTCTAGAGTTCTGAAGATGAACTCGTGAAAACTTAGCCTAAAGAACAATAAACTAAGGCGCTCTAAACAAGAAAGTAAGCCTTGGAAACTAATTTTTCCTTCCACTGTACTTTGTGATTGTATCGTGTGTCATATTTGAAGAGAGAGCCTAAGGCCTTTTGAAATGAGGCATAGTGGTTCAGTGGCTTTTTCAAAATAGCGCAGGTCAAGGTAATGTGTCAGTCATGTACATATGCTTGTATGGTTGTATACATGATGTCATAGACTTGCTGCCGGTACTTGAAAATCCATTGTGGGAGCTTACTCCTTTGCATTCTCTAATCTTGAATTTTTCATAGGATTTATGTACCTTCTAATGTTAGTGGCTTTTAATTCCTTGCACATCCCTGTTGCATTTCTAATCTTGTTCATGGATTTTACATTTTTAACACATTGTGGAATCTGCATATGTTGGTTCACAAAGTTGGCAAAAGTAAACTTCATTTTGGAGGCACCTTTTCGCACATAGCATTGACTTAGAACTTAATGGATAGGAAATGTTGACTTTGATCAGCATGTTTCCTTTGAGGCACCTGTCTTTGTCTTTCCTTTGGGGAGTTCAGCAATGTAATTTTAGTGGTCTTGGATGGAAGTGCAAGAAACAAATTTGTATTGATCACCTCAAAGGAATATGTTAAAAGAAAATATAGACCACAAGATTTTCAATGATTGCATCTCCTATGTTAGTGCCTTTCAGAATTAGCAAATAGAAGATGCAATTTTGCCCTGTATGACAAAGAACTTTTGTCCTCTTTCAACAGATATCAAATATTGGCTGGTGTCATTGAACAACGAATTTTAGAGCCCTTACTGCACCAGCACAAGTTATTTCTGAGTGCAATCTGCTTCGCCGTCCGGACAGGGAACACCTTTTTGGGTTCACTACTGTAAGATTAATCACCTTTTTCCTCATGTTCCGGGTTTTTGCTTTGTCAATTGTTAATTTGATCTCCTTAAACCCATAAATTGTTTTTATAGGTGGGTTGATTATGCCCGTTGGATAGGAGTTCAGAAGGCTCAAGAGTTAGAAGAATAAGTCTTTCGTTCGTCTTTGATATGGAGCAAGATGATTGTCTGGTGCCTTCCATTTTCCTTTGTTTTCCCCTGCTATTTGGGAAGTGATTCTTGAGGTGATCAATTTGGTTGACACTGCAAAGAAGTAGGCTGGTAGATATATATAATTAAATTGAAAAGTGGTTTCAATTTTAGCATAATTAGTTTGATCGACTGTTCACTCATTTATGGCCAGTTAGTTTCTCTACTCATTTTATCTTTTTGTTTTCATGTTGGATACAATGTTTACTCTATTAGGCTGCGTGGTTTTCATATTAATGTAGTATATCGTCACACAGCATTGGACAGGTATGCTGAAACTAAAGAAGGAAAAGGTAGTTGCATTCCGAAATTGAGGTGGATTATTCAAGTTTTCCTTCTTGATTTTATTGCTCTCTTTCTCTCTCTCTCTCTCTCGTTAAACGTAGGCTGGCTTTTTTTTTTTTCGTCCCCTATTGAGAAGAAGTGCAAATGTAAGCAAAATCGTACTTTAAGTGGCATATGACTAATACATGATATACGACGATGAATACAAATTGAAAGATGGCCAATCTTTTTAGGAATTTTCATGTTTGTATTTATTGTTTAAGCATATTATGTTTTTAAAGTCGTTCAGTACAGGTGAACTTCAAGTGTAAATGGAGGATATATTTGCATCATAACTGTTGCAGCATTTACGCTAATTGCACACCAGGGTATGCTGGCATACCCTTTGAATCAATAACCCTATATGATGCTTCTGCTTAAACCAGAATTCTCTTGTAGGGCTCCCTTTGCTTAAACCAGAATTCTCTAGTCAGATTTGCTCTTAGCTGACCCCAAATTGCTTGTATGGTTTTACTGATTCAATCAAATTGCTAATCGTTATTGGCTCTTTTCAAATAAGTTATCGGTATAAGAAGACTGGATAATATGGTGGTAACTTAGCACCTAAAAATAATCTTGCATTTGGTCAAAAAAAGAAAAAGAAAAAAAGAAACTTGATTGAACAAGGTTGGATATGTAGAGCTAACCTACATAATATGTTCCTGTCTCAGAAACATTAACTTACAGATACAAAATTGGAGTATAAAATATATGCCCAGCTTAAAGGAGAAATAGTGTCTGGTGCTCGCAGAACAAATCTCCTTCCACCGTCAATCTATTTGTACTTAAGAATTTACTAAACATGTAAACCTAATTTTTTTTGCCATTTATGATAAATTTCTTTTTTTTTTCTCTTGGGTTCAAACCACTACCAAGTAAATCATGAAATTGGATATTCCAGATAATAGAAGCAGCTATTGTTTTCGCTTTATCCAATATTGAAATCATCTAGAGTTATTCTCCAAAATGAATGATAGAGCACTCTTCAATAAAAAAAAATACTATTAAGAAATACAGAAAAAAAAAGAGATTTAGTAATGTTAATGAAAAAATCAAGCAACACGCTAGGGAAAGTTTAAAAAACAATACAAGGGATTACTAGATTTTAAGCGGCCCTAAGTTCGACTACAACGGGGCTTTTCACCAAATCTTCCACTTAGCTTATCCTTACGATACTAAAAGCGCCAGTTGGAGTTGCTACAGTGCTCATGGACCGGTTATCAGGTAATTTTGAGCAACTTCTGTGGCTTTTTCATAGGCAGATAGACTGGTTATGCTGTAAATTTCGACAATTTCAATGGCATTTCATAGGAATTTGTTTGGGCTTGCCCTCTTGTTCAAGAGTTCAGACGCTAGAATTCTTTCCCCTCTCCCTCCAGTGGCATTTTTTAGGAAGCATATATGTGCCATATATAAAGCTTGATGTCCTTTACGGTGTTGTATTGTTAGTTCTTTCTTCTTCTTTTTATTTTTTTTGCCTTTATTATAAAGGATAAAATGGATTTATTCTCTAACAAAATAATAAAACAACAATTTTACTATAACTTTGAATCTTCCCGTATTTTTACGTTCAATTTCTCCATGTTTATCTACTATAGTTGACACACATTTCTTCAATTTTTCTTTATTAACATCACCGAAATTAAGCCCATGCACTTGTTTCCCCTATAATACTTCACTTTTATAAGAGAATTATTATTACAAACATTTTTATTCTAATTAGTTATACACACATCTGAGTGTGCCTTAATCACTATTATGTATAACGAGAAAAGAATTATTGAACATGTTTGAACTAATTCTTGATAAGAAATTTCAGAAAAGTAATGTACTACCCAACCTTTAGCTTTAGATACTTTTATTCGTATTTTCTTCATTCAGAGTTTTAATTTTTGTTTATATTCTTAATTAAAAGCGCCAGTTGGAGTTGCTACAGTGCTCATGGACCGGTTATCAGGTAATTTTGAGCAACTTCTGTGGCTTTTTCATAGGCAGATAGACTGGTTATGCTGTAAATTTCGACAATTTCAATGGCATTTCAGAGGAATTTGTTTGGGCTTGCCCTCTTGTTCAAGAGTTCAGACGCTAGAATTCTTTCCCCTCTCCCTCCAGTGGCATTTTTTAGGAAGCATATATGTGCCATATATAAAGCTTGATGTCCTTTACGGTGTTGTATTGTTAGTTCTTTCTTCTTCTTTTTATTTTTTTTGCCTTTATTATAAAGGATAAAATGGATTTATTCTCTAACAAAATAATAAAACAACAATTTTACTATAACTTCGAATCTTCCCGTATTTTTACGTTCAATTTCTCCATGTTTATCTACTATAGTTGACACACATTTCTTCAATTTTTCTTTATTAACATCACCGAAATTAAGCCCATGCACTTGTTTCCCCTATAATACTTCACTTTTATAAGAGAATTATTATTACAAATATTTTTATTCTAATTAGTTATACACACATCTGAGTGTGCCTTAATCACTATTATGTATAACGAGAAAAGAATTATTGAACATGTTTGAACTAATTCTTGATAAGAAATTTCAGAAAAGTAATGTACTACCCAACCTTTAGCTTTAGATACTTTTATTCGTATTTTCTTCATTCAGAGTTTTAATTTTTGTTTATATTCTTAATTAGGCTTGCTATAAAAATTGAAACCTAGAAATTGGAACATTCGATTTGCTTTCTTAGGGTTTAGGTGTATGTACGGTGGAAGTTGGACCAGTTTTGAGTGCTTCAACTTTTAGATATAATATGGCATATCCATTATTATCCTCTTTAGTTCTCTTCGTGTAAGGCATTAATAGTGCAATATCATGCAAGCAAACTTTTCTTGCTGCAATAGAACGATGAAACTTGGCATCTTTGTGTTTGATTCGCGTTGAAAGCAACATCTTACATTTCCACTGTTTTGCATATGTAGCTTTACGAAATATTCTTTAATTATCTTACATTTCAACCAAGAGTTTCAGAATATACAGTATACACTGAGTTTATTTGGATAGGAGTTTATTTGGATGATTTATTTGAGATAATTACTGTAGCATATTTTATGATGTGATATATGTGAGATAAAAATGTGATTGGAATTTGTGAAGCAAATTATTTTTTTCAAATCATTCCAATCCAAACACACTCACTATCATTTTTGGATACATGTCATATATACAAAAGTTGATATTAGAATTCAAATTTGGATTAAATAATATGCATTAAAATGTGAAAATGTATACTGTCAATATAAACAAGAGGGTCCTCCTGTTTTGGAAAAAAAATTAAAAAAAAATATGAAGGAATCCCGTGGCCATGTAAACATTTTTTCTTTTTTTTTTGCAAAAGGATAAACTTTCTTCATAAAAAAAAATATGCAATTTAAGAAAGGGTAAAATACAAGGAACCCCCTTGTCGTTTCGCGAAAAGACATCTTACCCCCCTATCGTTTAGAAACCCCCACATAAACACTTAAACTTCATAACTAAAGCGGAAATTGACCTGTAACCGGCCGTGCAACCTAGTGACGATGGGTATGCGAAATTCCTTTGAAAAGATCTTGAGTTTCATTCTTAGGGAAAGAAAAAGCCGCTTCTCCCATAAATTATAACTTTTTTGCCATTAGTTTTCTTTCATTTTATCTGATACACTGGATATCGTCCATCAAAAACTAATACTGTAAAATTTGATATAGTTTGGAACAGGAGCTCAGCAATTCGTGGGAAATCAAAGCCACTCCTACGATTCTCTTCCTCAGAGATGGCAAAATGGTAGACAAACTCATAGGTGACAACAAACAAGATCTCCAAAAGAAAACAATGGCCATTGCTGAATCTTGTTCAGATCTGACAACCCCATGATTGAGTTGCCTGTCTTCTGAATGTCTAAGGCGTATATCAATTTTCTTCAGCAATTTTGATACTCTAAAATCGGATCTCAGAGAATAAGGTGATCAATTTTCTTCAGCAATTTTCTTCAGCAATTTGCTGAATCGGATCTCAGAGAACAAGGGATCAATTTTCTTCAGCAATTTTCTTCAGTAGTAGTAGTAGTAGTAAACACAGAATTGAGTGCCCACTCAATTATTGATTGGGGATTTTTGGAAAAAATTTAGGAATCCACTCATAAGGGGAGTGGTCATGCCGCTACAGATGAGGAGAAGAATATGGCCTTCTGCCTCGAGATTGAAGCTATAGCTGAGGAGATTGCCCAGAAACTTATTCGTTTCCATGAAGAAATGATGGTAAGAATTCCTAAACGAATTACCCCTTGATTGTGCAACAAAAACCAAGCGCTTGATTGCTGAAGTTGAAGAAGCGCTTGATTGCTGAAGTTGAAGAAGCTCTTGACCATGTCTACTTGATGCAGTCCGAAGGGATCAGCAGCAGCAGCAGTTCATTCCGATTCCAACTCCTCTCTCTCCCATTTCTTGATGTCTCCTTTTGCAATGATTTATTTGCATATGTACTATCAACTATGTCCGCAATCGAGACTATGGTTAATCATTATCATGTATGGGACCATTTCCGTTCCTTGATGATAGTGTATCTGACACCCGATGATACCTTGTTTGATTGCCACAATATATTCATCATCATTATCATGCCAGTGGACTGCAGAGTTTTGATGCTTGCATTGGCATTTGATTCAAAGTTCCAAGGCAAAGCTTTCAAGCTTACGTTTCTGGATATGCATTGGATTGTCAATTCCCACTAATTTAGCAGGCCACGGGTTAGATGAGGGTATTTGACCTGCTGCCGGTAACTCAGCCGGTTCAAAAGGTAATTTCCACTTTAGTTATGAAAGTTAGGGTGTTTATGTGGAGGTTTTTAAACAATAGGGGGGTAAGGTGTCTTTTCGGAAAACCACAAGGGGGTTCCTTGTATTTTACCCTTTAAGAAATGGATTATAGTTTTAAACTTTTACAGTAGTCCCAAATTTTCTTTCGAGCATGAAAAAATGATTCTATAAATACGTATTTTTGGATTTTAAACACGAGTTTGTTACTAAAAATATGAAGGTATCCCGTGGATGTGTAAATTTTTTTTTTTTTTTTTTTTGCAAAAGGATAAACTTTCTTCATAAAAAAAATATGCAATTTAAGAAATGGATTATAATTTTTAAACTTTTACAGTAGTTCCAAATTTTCTTTCGAGCATGAAAAAACGATTCCATAAATACATATTTTTGGATTTTAAACATGAGTTTATTTCCCCATTTGTAAAATAGATCCACCGCCTAAATTATGGGCAACTTCGGTGGCTTTTGCATTCGTGCTTCAGTTGTGTGCTTGGTCAACTTTGGTGGTTTTTGTGTTTGTGCTTCAGAGTTCAGACGTGTATTTGTATCTTCATCGTATAGTTGTAGTTGCTTGAGCTCCCCTAGTGAGTGGGCGGTGGGTGGTGTCCGAAGCGGTCTGTGGGAGCCGCACAAAGCTGTATTGCCTATGTAATCTTGAGAGAAAGCCATATGAAAAACAACATATTGGATGTGTTTCTTTCTCCAATTGAAGACCTGGATTTGGCGGTTTTACAAGGTGAAGTCTTCGCACTCTCACCTAACTGATCTTGTTTAAACTTATTTCATTCTTGATTAGATACAAATAGTGTGTGCATAATTTTAAAAGTGATCAGCGTCACCATGTTTATGATATATGTATGTACGTGTACATTTTAAATGAATGCATCATTTATTTATAATATCAAGAATTCGCAAAGATCTTAAGCCAAAGACTGACTATCTAAGAGAAAATTACAAATCAAATGAGTAAACGAGTAACAGCAATATTCAATTTACCTAAAGTCAAATTCTCCACATTTATTAACACCTATCATGTATTAAATATATAATCATTTTACATTAATCCAGTTGCCTTCATTTGATCTTGATTAACATAGACCCAGGGCATCCTCACGCATTGCGTGAGGCTGAAAAAACTAGTCCTTACTATACTAAAAGCGCCAGTTGGAGTTGCTACAGTGCTCATGGACCGGTTATCAGGTAATTTTGAGCAACTTCGGTGGCTTTTTCGTAGGCAGATAGACTGGTTGTAAATTTTGACAATTCCAATGGCATTTCATAGGAATTTGTTTGGGCTTGCCCTCTTGCTCCAGAGTTCAGACGCTAGAATTCTTTCCCCTCTCTCTCCAGTGGCATTTTTTAGGAAGCATATATGTGCCATGTATAAAGCTTGATGCCCTTTACGGTGTTGTATTGTTAGTTCTTTCTTCTTCTTTTTATTTTTTTTGCCTTTATTATAAAGGATAAAATGGATTTATTCTCTAACAAAATAATAAAACAATAATTTTACTATAATTTCGAATCTTCCCGTATTTTTACGTTCAATTTTTCCATGTTTATCTATTATATTTGACACACATTTCTTCAATTTTTCTTTATTAACATCACCGAAATTAAGTCCATGCACTTGTTTTCCCTATAATACTTCACTTTTATAAGAGAATTATTATTACAAATATTTTTATTCTAATTAGTTATACACACATTTGAGTGTGCCTTAATCACTATTATGTATAACGAGAAAAGAATTATTGAACATGTTTGAACTAATTCTTGATAAGAAATTTCAGAAAAGTAATGTACTACCCAACCTTTAGCTTTAAATACTTTTATTCGTATTTTCTTCATTCAGAGTTTTAATTTTTATTTATATTCTTAATTAGGCTTGCTATAAAAATTGAAACTTAGAAATTGGAACATTCGATTTGTTTTCTTAGGGTTTGGGTGTATGGATGGTGGAGGTTGGACCAGTTTTGAGTGCTTCAACTTTTAGATATAATACGGCATATCCATTATTATCCTTTTTAGTTCTCTTCGTGTAAGGCATTAATAGTGCAATATCATGCAAGCAAACTTTTCTTGCTGCAATAGAATGATGAAACTTGGCATCTTTGTGTTTGATTCGCGTTGAAAGCAGCATCTTACATTTCCACTGTTTTGCATATGTAGCTTTACGAAATATTCTTTAATTATCTTACATTTCAACCAAGAGTTTCAGAATATACAGTATACACTGAGTTTATTTGGATAGGAGTTTATTTGGATGATTTATTTGAGATAATTACTGTAGCATATTTTATGATGTGATATATGTGAGATAAAAATGTGATTGGAATTTGTGAAGCAAATTATTTTTTTCAAATCATTCCAATCCAAACATTGAAACCTAGAAATTGGAACATTCGATTTGTTTTCTTAGGGTTTGATTGTATGGATGGTGGAGGTTGGACCAGTTTTGAGTGCTTCAACTTTTAGATATAATACGGCATATCCATTATTATCCTTTTTAGTTCTCTTCGTGTAAGGCATTAATAGTGCAATATCATGCAAGCAAACTTTTCTTGCTGCAATAGAATGATGAAACTTGGCATCTTTGTGTTTGATTCACGTTGAAAGCAGCATCTTACATTTCCACTGTTTTGCATATGTACCTTTACGAAATATTCTTTAATTATCTTACATTTCAACCAAGAGTTTCAGAATATACAGTATACACTGAGTTTATTTGGATAGGAGTTTATTTGGATGATTTATTTGAGATAATTACTGTAGCATATTTTATGATGTGATATATGTGAGATAAAAAGGTGATTTGGAAGATAAAAAGGTGATTAGAATTTGTGAAGCAAATTATTTTTTTCAAATCATTTCAATCCAAACACACTCACTATCATTTTTGGATACATATATATACAAAAGTTGATATTAGAATTCAAATTTGGATTAAATAATATGCATTAAAATCTGAAAATGTATACTGTCAATATAAACAAGAGGGTCCTCTTGTTTTGGAAAAAAAATTTAAAAAAAAATATGAAGGAATCCCGTGGCCATGTAAACATTTTTTCTTTTTTTTGCAAAAGGATAAACTTTCTTCATAAAAAAAATATGCAATTTAAGAAATGGATTATAGTTTTTAAACTTTTACAGTAGTCCCAATTTTTCTTTCAAGCATGAAAAAATGATTCTATAAATACATATTTTCAGATTTTAAACACGAGTTTGTTACTAAAAATATGAAGGTATCTCGTGGCTGTGTAAACCTTTATTTTTTTTTTTTTGCAAAAGGATAAACTTTCTTCATAAAAAAAATATGCAATTTAAGAAATGGATTATAATTTTTAAACTTTTACAGTAGTTCCGATTTTTCTTTCGAGCATGAAAAAACGATTCTATAAATACATATTTTTGGATTTTAAACATGAGTTTGTTACCTCATTTGTAAAATAGATCCACCGCCTAAATTATGGGCAACTTCGGTGGCTTTTGCATTCATGCTTCAGTTGTGTGCTTGGTCAACTTTGGTGGCTTTTGTGTTTGTGCTTCAGAGTTCAGACGTGTATTTGTATCTTCATCGTATAGTTGTAGTTGCTTGAGCTCCCCTAGTGAGTGGGCGGTGGGTGGTGTCCGAAGCGGTCTGTGGGAGCCGCACAAAGCTGTATTGCCTATGTAATCTTGAGAGAAAGCCATCTGAAAAACAACATATTGGATGTGTTTCTTTCTCCAATTGAAGACCTGGATTTGGCAGTTTTACAAGGTGAAGTCTTCGCACTCTCACCTAACTGATCTTGTTTAAACTTATTTCATTCTTGATTAGATACAAATAGTGTGTGCATAATTTTAAAAGTGATCAGCGTCACCATGTTTATGATATATGTATGTACGTGTACATTTTAAATGAATGCATCATTTATTTATAATATCAAGAATTCGCAAAGATCTTAAGCCAAAGACTGACTATCTAAGAGAAAATTACAAATCAAATGAGTAAACGAGTAACAGCAATATTCAATTTACCTAAAGTCAAATTCTCCACATTTATTAACACCTATCATGTATTAAATATATAACCATTTTACATTAATCCACTTGCCTTCATTTGATCTTGATTAACATAGACCCAGGGCATCCTCACGCATTGCGTGAGGCTGAAAAAACTAGTAAACATTAAATAGCAATCTAGCAAGTCCTTTCAAGATAATATTATTCAACTTATATCATAAATACAATTTTCAATCACCTTTTTATTTTGCATATATTACATTACAAAAAATATCAGTGTTATTCCAAATAATTTTCTATCCAAATATCTCTTGGATTGCTCTTGCCTAATTCGATTCATTAGTTAGCTGATAGCTTAGGAGTTTACACTCCCAAATCAGCCATGAGATTACTTGTCCCCAAGAATCATGCTGTATCTTGGCATCAATTAGTTTGGCTCAAATACTCCATTCCTATATATTCTTTTGTTTTATGGATATGGATGTTGTGTTTGAATCGACTGAATACTAAGGATCGCTTGGTGCGGTGGAGAGTAATTTCTAATCTACGATGTCCTTTGTGTACAGGTGCTTATGAATCTGGGGAGCACTTGTTCTCCCAATGTAATTATGTTGCTTATGTTCGGTCCAGAATTTAGGAATCACTACTGCTGTATAGGGGAGGACTTCCGTGGTCAAGGGAGTTGCAATGGTTGGAACATCACCTTAAGAACAATTTTTTCTCTAATCAGTTTCGTAAGTTAGCTCTTGGAGCATCTTTTATAGAACAACAATTTCCGCCTACACTACCGGCAGGAAGGAAGGGCA